ATTATTTTTTTTTTTTTGCTTTTCAATCTCCAAAGCAAAGATCATAGCTCTACTGCGACTAAACATGCCAATATTTGAAACGATTAAGAATTTTTTATAACTGATGTGTGTTTGTTTATGGAAAAATTGCTCCTTTGTGACACACACACATATGTTTGATTATAAACCAAAATGACATGGACAGACACCGAGGCATCCGTCCAATCTCAGTTGAAGCTATCAGATAGTTTTTTTTCTGTTCGTTTGTTCTGCATCTGCTCATATAAGTTTATATTTCCCTAGAGAATTGAAGCTGTTGTTGGTGATGTTCTGTCATGTTTAACGATGTCTGGTGAGTGTGTCGTTGGAAGAGTTGACACAGTTTCAGTCAGATTAATCCACCCAGCTAGCTGTTGGTTCTTTGAAGTCGTGTTATGCGAATTTGTTGTACTCACACTTGATAAATGACATGAGATGATTGTTATGGCCAAAACACTATGACCATTTATATGTGCAAGCCTGTGTGTGTGAATGTTCTCCATCCATGTCGTTGGCCATGGCTTTGATGTACAACAAGCATTTTTATTGCAATACCATACCATACCAAAAGCAAACACAGTCACATACACAAATTCGGGTTAAGAGCACTTGTATGATAATGTTTCTTGATTGGGACCACCAAAAAGTAGTAGCTTTGTGGTAAATTACAGTGGTTTGTTTCTGGTGTAATGGAATTTCTTGAAAGTGTCCTTGTTCTAATAAGAAGTAACAAGGAAATATGTTAACATTTAAGTTGAGGTTGCCATTTAAAATTCATTAGTTTACAATTAGGAGTTGAAAAGATAAACATGAGTACTTGGAAACTGAGAAAACAAGGTATAAACATCATTGGGGATTTTTTTTTTTGGTAAGGATCGGTTAATATTTAGAGGATGAAATGATGGACCAAATACTTAATTTTATCTGTTTATTGGTCGCTTCAGAGGCCTCAACTATGGCCTGATCATCACGAAATGTTACATGGAGGAGGTGATCAGGCTAAAGGATAAGCATGACTGTATTGATGTAAGTCGGTCAATATTTAGCGGGTTAAATGGACTCAGACATTTACTCCAGATGGATATAGACCGGAAAAAGTTGACAGTAATTTTATAGTGTGTATGTACTTTAAGTTATACGACCAGGGATGGTCCGTCTGGCGAATTTTGTAGGTTTTCATTTTTATAAAGGTTTAAATGTTGAAACCTGTATAAAATATATTAAACTTCATTTATTTCAATATTATCACCATATACAGTTATTTTCAAGAATATCCGTTATTTTTACATATATCTGATTATACCTTACTAGAAGTGATAAAAAATTTGGGAAGAAAATGTTGAAATTTGATATGTTTTTGAGTAAATATGTACAGCTATTTTGTCAAACCCATAATGGTGTTGGGTGGGTTTACGATGTTTCTGACGTGAACTGGACAAAAAAAGTATTTTTTCTGGGTTTATAGTCCCTTTATACGCAAAAATTATACTCCAAATTATACAAATCCGATGAAGTAATTTTTTACTCCTGGTAAACGTGATTAGGAAAAAATGCCGCTGATGAGCTTTTAGAGACTGTTAGAGTGCAACAATCGCAATATATTACCCAGATTTGGAATATAGTAGTTGTGTAGAGTATCATATGTTCGACTCGTCCAACTACAATATTTGATATGAAATTTTAGATTAATCGAAAGCTAAAGGCTGAAAAAATAAATCAATCAGAATGCTTTTATGATGATGAGTGCCTGAATTATAAATATTTATCAAATAAATGCCTTTAAAATATCACCTCTGTGCTTCACCAAAATCGTCAGTAGATCAAATTCATTACTTAAAATCTGGCATATATATTTCCTAATTTATCACAAAAACTTACTTCCTCAAAAAAAAAAAAAAAAATAAAAAAATAATAACATATATTGAGGTGGCAGTTAAAAATAAAACTTGATTCATCATGCTCCATCACATCTACGGTTAGATGTGTGTAGCTGTGTGTTTGTGCGTAGCATAGTTTCCTTTCCTTCTCCATATATTTGTAATGCTATGAAATATGACCAACTAATATGAATTTATTGTCGTAGGAAAATAGTCAGTAGGCAATGCCTAATAGAGCTATAAATTGTGCCACACAAATTCACATTGTCACAAGTGGACTTGGTTGGACATTATGGAAAATTGTCTTGGACAAATTGCTGGCAATCAAATGTGTAAAAATAAATTGGTCAATTCGAAGAAAAAAATAAACAATTCAAATCGAAAGGATTTTTGGGGATATGAAAAAAATAAAAAAAATATCAGCGGTCTATCCAAAATAGTTTTGGTCTTACCATCAAGAGAACGAGGAGGGTTCTTGGCACGGACACATTACGCTACATCTTAGAATCAGTTATAGTTACTAATACAAGTTTTGTTAAGCGGTCAATCTGATTGTTGAGATATAATAGTTCTACGCCCATCCAACCAATATGCCATTTATCCAAAAATCATTTTATTTTAAAATTCTATATTTAATTTCATTTTTTTCAATAGACGACTTAAATTTATTTCATATATATTTATTGTAGCATAAAAATTGTCTTTGATTTGGTCTTTAGTAAACTTTTAATTAAATGCATAAATTCTTCTTTGGTGTGAATTCTCAAATCGAAATAGAATGTTCATTTCAATCTTAATAGGAAATCTATAAATACTATTAGTATTAAGTCCTTAAAGGACACATGTGTACACAATCTTTAAATAGCCTTTAAAATTTCTCTACATTTTTGGGTTATTGGAATTCCAAGAATGTTCCCCAAAAAATTCTATTTTTCTAATAACTTGACTTTATTGAGATGTAAGGAATTTATGAATTCCATCAAATTCAAAAACATTGTGGTTTCATATTTGAGAAATATTTGCAGTTTTTTCTGGATAAATTTCCTTTTTGCACATACACACACATATTTATAATCTAAAGATATAAATAAACCAGTAGCCAGCAACATGTGATAGATGTAATATCCTGGTATGAATGTCCTGAGTTGTTTTATGTCATCAACACTATCTTGTGTGACTGCCAAATGGTATGATGAATGGAGCACTTCTAACTTTTGATTGTGTATGTGCATGTAGTTACATTCACAAAGTGTGTGTGTATGTGTAATGAACAGGGTTGCCACTTTTATTTTTGTATTTTGAAAAGAATCAAATGAGATCTATAGGTTAGGTTTTAGTGTTGCAAAATGCTCGTCTAATCCAATCAGTAGTTTATTGTTAAATATTAACAATATATACACTCTATGGGACATTGACTTCGGGAGTTATGGCAAACTGTCGAACTATAAGTACGTTGTACAAATCTGTCTCATATCTGTAAACGTAAATATACCTACTGACCTGGGCCGGATTTTTACTATGGGATTATATTAGGTTGGGGAAAAATAAATCCATTTGAGAAATCCATTATGAGAATGTCAATAAAATCGAAGTTGACCGGTATGTTAGCAGTCGTAACATCGCCCATGAGCTAAAAATCGACATAAAACTGTTTAAACCATTACACAAAACTGGGACTAACGGCCAGGAAGGTTCTGCTATGCATTTGGTGAGACTGGAAGAGGATTATTTATTATGAGTTGCTTCCATATGGCCAAACCTTACATCCTGATCTCTACTGTCAACAACTTGACCTTTTGAAGAGAGCAATTGAGCAATTGAATTGGCCAACTGGTAACCGCATATACACATGTTCAAGTATTTCAAATATTTCTTTGGCATTTTATATTAAAGATGTATTCTACGACCACAATTATAGCTACTACAGGTCACGTAAATATGGGCTCTGCATCTTGGTATAATAATGAAGCAAACATATTTCTCGAATGGCAACCCTATATGCTCGAGTGGCACTAATAATTAATATCCAACTCCAATATAGACCTACAGGAGTGTAATAAATAATTGTTTTGTATGAAAATAAAACAAGCCATGTGTACTAAACCAGATGACAAACTTATTAACAATTTAATAAATTACATTTTAAGGAAGACTAACGAAAGTCGCGATATTGCAGTCCATGGTTGCTTGTTGTTGGCTTACTAATCATAAAATGATTTTCGACACCAACACTACTCTGCTGTTGGTCGATTGGTCGGTCGGTTGTTACTTTGTCATTAAAGGCACACAAAGCATAAAAATGTCTTTTTGCCGAAAGCTGTCAAATAGACAAACGAGCTGTCGCCTTCTCAGATGTATGGCAGAGTGTTGGCCTATGGCTACGTAAATTTCAGCCAAGTAATGCCGCCATAACAATCACAGACCATTAAATGGATTTTACCACCTGTCTGGCTGTATATCGGGTTGTATGTGTCTGTCTGCCGGCCAGCCTGGCTGGCTGCAAACCCATTTGCCTATGTTGTTATATCATTCACATGAGAAAAGAAATTCGAAAAAATCCTGTTAAAATGACAAATATATCGGACGAAAAGGCAGTTAGCTTTGGCCGCAGATTTTATGTGCCTTAGAGGCATTTGCCATAACAAAGACATATTTCCACTTTGTTGGCCAAGCCGTGTGAAGTATTAAATTGAAAAAAAGGCTCAAAATTTGTTATTTCATGTGGTTGGAATTTTTTAGTATTTAAATAATATAAGAAACAAAAAATAATGTCCATAATCCCTACAAGTAGTCCACACTGTCAATACAAATTGAAATGAAGTATTAACAAACAAAAAAAATGCATGGCTAACAACCAAGTTAAATGAAAAATCGAAACATGTCAGAGGTTCGTATAAAAGTAAAAGGTGTTGAGGAAGTTATGACTGCAGCCAACGTATGCTAATTCGGCAACATAAACCCAGCTACGATCATCATAGCTTTAAGATATATGTATATGACAAAAAAAAGCTTTTCATGAAATATTGCATGACATTTTATTTATCTCTGAAAAATATTTCATTTGAAATTAAATTAAAAGATTTTTTATATTCTCTTTTCATTTAGGACGATTCGGATAACATCTACTCACGTTATTACGTGCCGGGTACCGTGACCCGCAAAAAGGAGGAAGAATTGGGTTCACCCACATCTGTATTGGAGTCCAGGCGTCAATATGCTTTACAGCAAAGACAAAATAAAGGTAAGAAGTATCAATTGAATAGAAAAATAGTATTTAAAAAATAAAAATTTCCATCACGAAACAGAAAAAAGTGCGATGAAAGTCGGTTATTAGTAATAAAGTTTGCTTCGGAAAATTTCTCCGCCTTATTAAACATACCACAATGCTGCTGCTGCAATATTTATTCTCCTAGAAAATGCTTCATCACTTTGTAAATATAAACAAAAAAATTCAATTTAAATGTTTTGAAAACATTTGCAATTTATGCAACACTCTCCAAGTGGATTAGAATATCATTTGGTTTCCATAGGGGAGGGAACATATCTCGGTTAAGTATTTACTACCTAAAAAGGCAAACTTAAGTTAGAGCCTTTGTTGCATTTTGGCACCAATAAAAAAGGTGTTTGTCAATGCCTTAGCATTGCACTAAAATGTCATAGCAAATTTCATGTTATTGGATCGAACGAAGAAAGAATGCCATATTTTTGCTTGTTTTTGTTTTTCTTTCCACTTCGGAATTTGAAACTGTTGCTATGCATTTTTTTCTGGCATAACTTTTTGGCTGGCATCATGGTTAACGTCGATGGTGTTAAAATGCGATTTCTAGGTGTTTGCCTTCAAACGCGAATTTAAGAGAACAAAAGGAAAGGAGGGAAAAAGGCTACGAACGGTGAAAAAATATACATAACACAAACAATGACAAGATGCATGCTTTTGACCTAAATTTGTTGTTACTGCCAAAAAATAATTTGTTTACTGTTCAGCACCATGTTGACACTTTTTGGTTTGCATGGCGCAAAAAAAAAGAACGAAGAGTAAAATTGTAACAACTGTTATGGAGTAGAAACTCGGTGGATATTTACTGTATCGTATGGTAGAATATGGCGCGTAGGCAGGATATAGTGCTGTACGGATTTTTTTTCTTTTTTTGATGACATCTGTAATAGGAACTGTTTTTTATATAGTTTTCATTTTTTTCCTTGCTCTCTTCTAGCTTTTGCCAGTGCCCATCATCGACGCATTGTTAAGGAGGGCTCCTGTCGCATACCACAACCACGCGTTGAACGTATTCGCCGTGACTCTTGGAAAATCTATACACCACATTGCACAATTTTACATCGATGTGCAGATGACACGGGCTGTTGTCCCACAGAACGTCAAACCTGTGCCCCAAAACGCACAAAGAATGTGGATTTATACTTTTTTGTAAGTACACATTTTTCTTTAAAGCTAGATTATAAGGAAATATTTTTTTAATTTTTATTAAGGATGGAGGATTTGTATGAATGTTAAAAATTTTTGCAACATATTTACATATTTATAGTATAAAAATATGTGAATATCGAACTTTGAGTGCATTTGTGAATTCTGTAAGGGAACCATTTTCCTAAATATATACATTGAAATGAGTCCTTTATTTTGAAAGTGGTGTAAGTTCATTTTAATATCCGATACAAATCTTAGTTTTCTAGAAAAGTTCACAAAACATATTACGTTATATCTTCTATCGTGCTTAAGAGTATAAAGCGATATTTAACGTCAATGCGGATCGGCCCATATATCTTTCGGTGAATTTTTTTCTCAAAAACCCTTCAAGAGCTCTCTCATGCTTCTGATCCATACACCAGCACGGGTAGTAGCAGCGTATTTTAGAGTGTGAGGTTTCAGACAAGGTGACAGTTGTTAATATCCCTGAAAAATATTCTTTAAGAATTTCCGCATTATTGTAGTCCTTGAAAAAATATTATTTAAAATGTTCGCATTTTTTGTTCTTTGCAACAAATTATTATATTAGTTCCTATTTCAAATATTTTCCCATAAACCCAAATAAATTTTTAACCCTTACAAAAAATTCGTTAAAAATAAACGCAAATCGATGGTTGGTGAACATTTATTATTATTTTTTATTTTAATGTAATTGATATTAGAAAACATAATGCAATAAATCCATATAGCTCTATAATTATACAAACCTATTAAAATATTTTTTTTTTCAATGACCGCCGGAGCGTATGACTACTGACAACACTTATACGCCACATATCCACGCGTAACAAGGGTCATCTGAAACATAGTATTTACAAATCCCATGCTTCTCATAACGCTTAAGCCTTTTAAGCCCGAAGGAGGATTCAGACAAGGTGACAGTTTGTCGTGTGATCTTTATTAACTTCCTCCAGGAAAAGGACATAATGTATTAAAAACGAGTGGTTGTTTCTTCCGGGTATAATAATAATAATGGTTGGTCTATTACTAAAGCGGCTTCAAAAATTTCAAATATTTTTTTTCAAATTTCCTGTAATTGCACTTAATTAAACTTTTTCGAACTTGGAACTGAATACAGATTTATTCTAAATTCATTTTCAACTATTTCCATTGTTTGCGAAAAATATAAAACGTTCCCTGTTTTATTTACTCATTTTTTTAATTTTGTTTACCACCAAAATTTTTCTATTGATTGTTACCATTCTAAAGAAGTGCCGAACTTTTGCTTTTTTATTATTTGTTCCAACCAGGAAGAACAACAGCCAACAGGATGCCAATAAAGTTTTTTTTGTTTGTTTGTTTGTTGTTTTTTTATTCTGAGAGGAGGGGGCTTGCAAGCAAACAAACTTTGGGATGTTGTTCTGTAAGCAGCAACTAATTGTTATTTTATTACCAGTGGTTGTTGTTGTTGGCTGGTCGGAGTTGGGAAAAGTTTTTCAATTTTAATTGGAATTTACTTAATTAAACTAATTTAATGAACGAACAACAGAACAAGTTGAATTTCGGACAAAAGGATATAAATGAGGCATATATACAATGGAATGCAGTTTGCTAATTCAATTTGAGAATTGGTAAGAGTCGAAAAAAATAATATTAATTAGTTTTTTGAAATCGAATTTCGGTTTTATTTTACTTGCACAATAAATGTTAATATGGAATTTAATATTAAATGGCTTATAGATCCTATATAAATTAGTGATCAATACACAAAATTCTAAATAAATATTATTTAGTAATATATATTATTTTTATAATCCATAATGTATTATTTCACATGCAATTTAGTAATAGTTGTATTCGGTACAGTTGTCTCTGTTTAAAAAAATAATTTCCTTGGCTATAAGTTTTACAAGTTTTTTTGAAATTGAAAATATAACTGAATTATTATGTTGCCTTTAATATTTTCTTTATACGATACAGGCTTAAATAAATACTAAAGTCTCATCTGTATCATGTTCTTCTATCTGTTCGCATTTTTTAAATAGTTTTTCATATCTTATCTTCACATTGCTTATCTTAAATTAATTCTCTGTATCCAATTTAAATTTGTAAAACTGTATCTCACCACTTCAATCAAGAGTTAACACATAAAAGTGCAACTCTCATCCACTTGAATATTTCAATTGCACTTTTACAAGTCGCTGTTGCCATGAATTGCAATGCAGCAATTCGATTTAATTTGATGCGAACGGGAGGCATTCAGGGCAGAGACAAAATACGCACATTCATGTGACATTGCAAGGTTAGCATTTTTCGGTATGCTGTCAACCTTCGTTGGGTTTCGAATATCTTGGGTGAAATGTTTGCAATGATACAGAAAGGACTCGGTAACACGCACAGTAAATTCGAAAATTCGATGTAAAAGTTTAATTATTTTAATAAATCCTGGGTTAAGTTTTTTACCTTGCACAATAGAATGGATGCTCTTCCTTTTCCAATACGGAAAATTTCCTAATAATGATACGCTACGTAGTAATAATTGAAAGGAAGGAAAATATTAACAATTTACCGAACTTATTAAGCGCTTTCAGGATCGGGATAGATCTGGTGTAAGTGCATTATATCTGGCGTGGTTTATTTTTTTATTTAGTCTGATAACGAAAGAAATTCGATATTTAAAAAAAATTATATTTTTTTATTTTATGTTGTGAATCAATGAAAATATTTTTAACCTTTTACTGTAGTAATATTAAAAATGTATATCGATTTACCGAAGGTGGTCGGATTCGTAACTAATTACATTTATTGTTTTACATTATAAATTTTTTCTGCAGAGTCATGACAGAAAGTCATCAAAATGTGGAATGTAAAACAACAAAATACGAATCAGAATTTTATATTGAAAATGGCGAATCAATTTAAAGGCATTTACTCAGGAAAATACCGATTTTTAAGGTCAACTTTGTTTCATAATTTTAAAATGACCTGTTGCAAATTTAGGATGAATTTCTAACGAGTCGTCTTCTGAAAGCAGCTCCCACTGTTCATCATGTCCCTTCCATTAAATAACAAAATATACATTTTTTTTAGAATTGTCAGTAAATTTTAGAATTACTAGGATGTCAAAAAAAGATACGCGACAGAATTCACAAAATTCCATTTGACGGTTACACGCGGATTTACCATACCATCGTCACCCTTTTTGCAAATATGTACTACACATTTACATACATGAGTAGACATCCGTCCCCTATCTATGGATGTCCTATTTTTTTTGATTAGAGGAATTCCTTTTAAATAAACTGCTAAATGCAAGGCTAAATCCATTCATTTGTGTTACGAATGATGATGATGCTGACTCTGGTTGGTTGGCGGGCGCTGCTGGTGTGATATAATACATTGCGGCTGGTTTGGTGGTGGTGATGGTGGTTGAAGTGGCGGGTCTACACCTGCAGGCAGGCAAATTCCCCCAAAAATATTCATTGTGAATGGGTTTTTAATAAAATTCATGTTTCTTTCTTTCCTGTGAAAAAAGTGTATTTCTATTTTCTCGATTTTCATTCATTCATTTATTGATGGCGCAAACGAAAGGAGCCCACCCCACCAACCAGCCAACCAACCAACAAACAAACGAACGCAATTTCAGCATCTGAAGCTGTGCGATATTTGATTGTGTAACAATTGTCTGGCATGGCAGAAATTTGTTTGATTTCGATTATTGGATTGTTGTCTGTCGTTTGGCTTTCACGTTTGCATTTCATTCATCCATCGATTCATTCAGTGAGGCGTTTGGTTGTGTGTGTGTGTGTCCCTGCCTGGTTTATGTTTTGTTCCCACGCAGTGCCAAAGGATTTGTGGTCTTTAATATGTTTGTGTCGGCACGCAAATGTTTGTTGCATTTATTATGTTTGCAACAACACCTGAGGCATTTTTTGGGGATGTTGCTCGGTTTTGTGCATTGTCGGCATTGTTGAATATTCAACTCGTTTTTATTTGTGATCAGCCAAAAAGGAAACCCAATTTAATGAAATTTCATTTCAGCTGCCTCTATGAATGGAGGAGGAGGTGGAGGATGAGACTTTGTGTTTGTGATGCGAGAGCGTCGGCTGGGGCATGTTTTTGAATATTTGAAAATTCGTATTTTTAGATAAATTGGGAGATTTTATCCCTACAAAATATCATGCAACAAATTCAAATGAAAGGATATTCTATTTGAATAATAGTGTATATTTTTTTGCCCGTGGTAGAAGAAAATCGGCTTTGGTATGAAGGGATGAACGATTTTGTGACAATGAAGAGTTGTGTAATCATATTCATTTTTTATTTAATAAAAAATATATTATTATTGAATTATAATATTGAAAAGAAAATAAATATTTTACGAAACGTTTGTTCGCCACTTATATTGATTAGGGTTTTTTAGATACATATCCCTTTTTGCAATATAGTTATTTCTATAAGGCGAGCTTTGAATAGCAGCATATTCCAAATAAATATTTAAACGTTAAATAATGAATTCATTTTTTTCCAAATCAATACAACGTATTGTAGAACATCTTCAATTTCGAATTACAAGAACAAACAACCACATCGAAAGGGTATTTGCCACCACTCGTCGTTTAGTTCATGGTAAATAGCTGCTTTAACACACATCGACACACATAGCCTCACTAATATTTCACGCTTGAATAGCTTGCTGTTTACATTGTGTGCGGCTAGGTGCTTGACCTGAATCTACATACATAGTTCGATTAAATTTAATTGGCCTGGTTATGTGAAAGACGAAAGGCAAAACAGAAAATGTCCCTCCAATTGATTGATTGGCATTGATGCCACAACAAACAAGGTCCCCCGGCTGGGGTATTTTGCTTCGCATTGAACCTCAGTACGACGCTCTTGTGTATGCCGGCTTGTTAGCAAATTCACATGTGGGTGGTATTGAACTTGTGGTCGGTAACTACTCACATTACCAGCCAGCCAGTTAGGCATCCAGCATGCAT